ATTATTTAAAAAAAAAAATTTTTTATATTTTTTGAAAGAATTTAATTATTAACAAAAATAATAAAATTTTTTACAATAATTTAATTATTTTTAAATATTTTAATAAAATTGTTCTAAAGAAATTAATTATTTTTAAATTTTAATTAAATTTTTTTGAAATATTCAATTATTCTTTTAGATTTTAATGAAATTCTTCCGAAGAATTAAATTATTTACAAAAATAATTGTTCGAAAGAATTCATTTATTTACATAAATAATTCTTCGAAAGAATTTAATTATTAAAGATAAATAACAAAATTATTTTTGAAAATTCAATTATTTTGAGGGATTTTAATAAAATTCTTTGCAAAATTCAATTATTTTCATAAATAACAATATTCATCACAAGAATTCAATTATTTTAAAAAGTTCTAATAAAATCGTTCGCAAGAATGCAAGTATTTTCATAAATAATAAAATGCTTTATAGGAATTCAATTATTTTTAAAGAAATTTAATAAAATACCACAGACGTTCAATTATTGTCAAAAATTTTAATAAAATTCTTTGTAAAATTTAATTATTTAAAAAAATTTTTTTTTTTAAATTTTAAAAAATTTTCAAACAGAATTCAATTTTTTAAAAAATTTTTGTAAAAATCTTCATAAGAATTCAATTCTATTCATCAATAATAAAAATTTTTTAGGAATTCAATTATTTAAATTAGAATTTGCATAAAATCAATCAAAAGAAATCAATTATTAAAAATTTTTTATAAAATTCTGCGCATAAGAATTAAATTATTTTTATAAATATTTAAATTCTGTCATGAAAAATAAAATTCGTTGCAGGAAATCAATTTATTAGCAGGATAAGAAAGGAGTAAATATTTTTGATGAAAATTAGGAAAAAGTCAGGAAAATAAAATATAAAATAGAATTTTTGTCAGTTTTGTGAAGTTTCTGAAACGAGTTTTTTTTCGTCTAATTTAATTTTTCGATAGATACTATATTTTACTAATTTTTTTTAGTTTGAAAGCTACTTTTTTAAAATTAATTATCGAGTGCGAAGTCTAAATTCAAACATAATTTTTAATCACAAGTTAGTTTCTAAAAATGTTTAATTTATTCCATTTATTTTAAATTTACTTTCACAAATCTTCATTTTAATTTGTTAAAACTGTCTTTGATTAAATTTCTAATTGACTCTGAATTTAATTTGTCAAAACTTTTAATCTTTGGAATTCCAATTCATCTTATTTTTAATCAAGACCAAATTAAGCTTCAGCTGAATCAGAATCAGGATTTAAATTACAATTCATCTAAATTTTAAACAATATAAATTTGAAATTCTAATGTTAAAAATTAAAATTTAATTTAATCTTAAATCAAAATCTTTTTTAACATTAATTTATGTATTTTCTTTTAAATTTATATTTTAGAAACAATTTAGCAAAAGTTCTGCAATAAAAGAAAAAACGGTAAAATCCTCTTTCCGTGCGAGAAAAAGTGATAAATAATAATATTTTTTCTCCTTCTCTCTTTTTGTTTTGGGTAAATTTTTTAAGTGCCTGTAAACAGTGTTGTTTGGTTTGGAAACATCTGCAAATAATTGATATACACTTTCATTGTCTTTTGTGTGTCGGCAACATAAATTTTTCGTTAAGAGTGAACAAACGGTGGAAAGTAAAGTCTATCATCTGCAGACACAACTCCTATTTCATAATGGAAGTGTTCACTACTGGGTAAAAGCTTCGGGCAACACGTGCACTAAGAAGAAAGTTTCCTCTACTCTGGTATATGTAAATCCTTCGTATCCATGCATTTTTCAAAACTCTTTTTTTTTTTCTTTTTTTTTATCCTTTCCCAAACATAAAAATCACTACATATGGTTTTTTTCTCAACGAAAAAAAAGAAATAAACCCCTTTAGAATTTTTTAAATTAAAGTAAAATTATATTGTTGAAAAAATATCAGAGATTAATTATAGAAAGCGAAAAAGAAAAAAGGAGAAAAAAGGAGAAAAAAAGAAAGAAAGAGAAGCAAAGAAGAAGCAAAAAGAAAAGAAAGGAAATATAAATAATATAAAAATTATTACAAAGAATAATGAGAAACAAAACTAAACGAATTATATATAAAAAAAGTATAATTAATTACTTTGAATTTGCAGCTACTTTCATACAGAAATGATAATATAATCCTCTCATTTTAAATGTACAAAACAAGTTTCGAGAACCTTTGAAATCACATATATATAAAAGCAAACTCCTAAATAGCTTGGCACTGAAAGTAAATAAATTTTCAGGATTAATTTACCTACTTTACATAATTAGATAATTGTTACAAACGCGAAATGTCTGCATCAGAGCTTGTTGATTTTCAGATTTATTGTTTTATTTTATTTAGAAAGAGAAAGAGAAAAGGAAACAAAGAAAGAAAAATTTAAATAAAATTTTAAAATTCACTTTGGAAATTTGCCATTTTGTGTTTATTTATTTAATAAATAAACATCTATTTAATAAATAAACACCAAATGTCAAATTTCCAAAGTCAATTCTATGCAAAAAATTAATTTTTTTACAATAAAATTATTACTGAGGATTCAATTATTTTCAATTCAATTTTCATTAATATTCTCGAAAAAATTCAATTACTTTCAAAAATTTAAATAAAATTCTTCGAAAAAATTCAATTGTTTTCATAATTGACAAAACTCTTCGTAAGAAGACAAGAATTTTTATTATAATTCTGTAATAAAATTTCTCGAAAGAATTCAATTTTTTTATAAATAATAAAATTCGTCCGTTCTTCGCGAGAGTTCAATTATTTACATGTTTTTTTAATAACTTTCTTCGCAATAATTCCATTATTTTCATAAATAATACATTTTTTTACAGAGATTCAATTATTTTCGCATAAATAATAAAATTCTTTTTATAAATTCAATTATTTTCAAAAGCAAAAAAAAAAAACGTCACAAGAATTCATTTTAATAAATTCGTAGAGAAAGTTCAATTATTTAAAAAAATTTTGATACGATTTTAATAAAATTTCTCAAAAAAAATTCAATTTTTTTATACATAAGAAAATTCGTCGTGAGAATTCAATTATTTACAAATTTTTTTATAAATTTCTTTACTTTCATAAATAATACATTTTCTACACAAATTCAATTATTTTCGCATAAATAATAAAATTCTTTTTATAAATTTAATTATTTTTAAAAGCAAAAAAAAAAAAAAAAACGTCGCAAGAATTCATTTTAATAAATTCATGATGGAGAAAGTTCAATTATTTTAAAAAGTTTTAGATACGATTTTAATAAAATTTCTCAAAAGAATTTCAGTTCAAGTTTTAGAAAATATTTCAAGAATTGATAAAATCGTAATTAAATTTTCCCGAAATAGTTGAATTCTGGAAAATATTCTTAAAAAATTGAAAAAATAGGAAATTTTCTCAAATTTGATTGAAATAAATTTTATATTTTATGGAATTTTATTTTCTCACTTTAGAAAATTATTTTTAAATATTTTTGCATTTTTCGAAGAATTGTAACTAGAAATTTGAAAAATAATTAAATTTTACAATTTTTATAATTAAATAATTCAATTATCGTTGAATTTTTATAAGAATTGATTTAAAAAATAATAAAATTTGGAAAAATAATTGAATATTAGAAGCGTTATAACTGAAATTTTAATACAATTTTTTACAAGAATTGCTCAAAAAATGTGATTATTCTTAAAAATTTAATTTCAATTTCTTCAAAAAATCAATTATTTAAATTTTTTTTAAAAATTCTTTGTAAAAATTCAATTATTTACAAAAATATTAGAAATTTTTTCAGGAATTCAGTTATTTTCAGATATTTTAATAAAATTGTTTGATAGAAATCAATTATTTTAAATACAATTTTACTGGAATTGCTCAAAAAATGAAATTCTTAAAAATTTAATTTCAATTCATTTCAATTAATAATTGAAATTAATTTCAATTTAAAATCAATTATTTAAAAAAATGTTTTTTTAAAATTATTTGTAAGAATTCAATTATTTACAAAAATATTAGAATTTTTCACAGGAATTCAATTATTTTCATAAAATATTTTCAATTATTTTAAATATTTTTTTAATTTTACTCAAATACAATTTTAATTAAATTTTTTTGATTCTTTCAATTATTCTTTTAAACTTTTAAATTATTCTTTTAGATTTTAATTAAATATTTCCCTAGAATTCAATTATTTACGTAAATAATTTTTTCTAAAGAATTCAATTATTAAAGATAAATGACAAAATTATTCCTGAATAATTTTTTTTTTACAAAAACCTAATTTAATTAATTTAAATAAATATTTATTTAATGTGAATCAAAAGATACGTCGTAATTATTAATGAAATGAAGTTAATAGTTAAAAAAAAGAAAGTTTCGCGTAAGACTGAAATATTGAACAACTTTCAATTGAATATAAAGAAGGAGAATTTTTCATTTCTTATATCTTAGGATTATGGGAAAATGATTTTCCGCAAAAACGAGCTTAAGATAAAATAAGACTCATCCATAGCTCGCACAAGTTTGTCACATCAAAACTCTCTCAAAAGAGTTATTGATTTACCGTCAGTTTTTGAATAATGCATTCGGAGACGAAGTAATAATTCAACAAATCATTCTGTTCACTGATTTCGTTTTATGTCCATTTATTGTTGAAATTGGCAAACTTTATTGGAAACAATAAAATATTCTTTTACGATTTGAAAAAGAATTGAAGTAACTTTTTATTTTTCATCGATACTTATTGACACATTCAATAAATGAGCATTTACAGTTTTTACAGAAAAAAAAAAGTTTTAAAATGAAAAAAAATTTAATATTTTTTATGTAAAGGATTTTTTAGTTCCTTTTATTCTGTTTTTCTGTTTTTTCGTGTTGCTGTGTCTATTTCGTTGATATAATTATTATTTAATTGATAATTTGAAATTAATTTGTTTTACGAAATGAATAATGAAATTGTGTAATTTTTCAGGAATTCCAGGACAGAAGGGAGATGCTGGCTCACCAGGAACGAGAGGAACACGAGGTGAGTTATTAATTTTTAAATTGATAATAGATTATGAGTGAGGAATTTTTTCTTGTCCTTTAATTTGCTGTTGGAATTTAAAAACGTTTTAATATTGACATATTTATTCTCAAACACAAAAAGGAGAAGAAAAAACTAATTTTGTTTAAATAATTTAATTCTCTTCATTGAAGAACAGCCATAAAGTTATTGCATATAAATTATTAATTGAAGTATTATTTTGGAAATGTTTAATTTCAATTCTGTTGAAATTAGTTGCAATTTTAAAAATTTTAACGCAATTCTTTGAAAATATTAACTATCACGATAAATATCAAATTTCTTTTCAGAAATTCAATTATTTTCAAAAATTAAAAATAATTCTCGTCAACATTTCAATTATCTTTATAAATAGCAAAATTCTTCCCCGAAATTCAATTATATTCAGGAATTTTAATAAAATTCACTGCAAAATTAAATTATTTTCAAAAATAATATTCATCGCAAGAATTCAATTATTTTCAAAGTAAATAACATTCTTCGAAGAAATTCAATTATTTTCAAAGAATCTGAAAAAAATGTCAACATTTCAATTATTTTTATAAATCAATAGCAAAATTCTTCAAAAAAATTCAATTATTTTCAAAAATTTTAATAAAATTCAATTACTTTCATAAACAAATAGTATTCATCACAAGAATTCAATTATTTCCAAAAGTAATGAAAATTCAATTATTTTCAAAAATTTTAATAAAATTCATTGCAAAATTCAATTATTTTAATAAATACCAATATTTATCACAAGAATTCCATTATTTTTAAAATTAATAACATTCTTCGCAGAAATTCAATTATTTTCAAAAAATCCAAAAAGAAATTGTCAACATTTCAATTATTTTTATAAATGAATAGCAAAATTCTTCGACAAAATTCAATTATTTTCAAGAATTTTAATAAATTTAATTTTAAAATTCAATTACTTTCAAAAACAAATATTAAATATAAAATATTCATCACAAGATTTCAATTATTTTTAAAAGTCCTAATAAAATTCAATTCTTTTCAAAAGTTTTAATAAAATTCATGTCAAAAATTCAATTATTTTCAAAAATTTTTTTTAATTAAATGATTTTCAATATTCTACTATTTTAATAAAATTCCCCAAAAGAATTCAATTATTTAACAAAATTTTTAATAAAATTCTACATGAACATTGAATTCAAATATTTAAAAAAGAAATTTAATAAAATTCTACACGAACATTTAATTATTTTCATGAATATTAAAACTCATCGCAGAATTTCAATTATTTTTAATTCAATTTTAATTGAATTTCTCGAAAATTGCAATTATTTTTAAAAATTTTATTGAAATTCGTCAAAAGAATTCAATTATTTAAAAATTCCTTGATAAAATTCTTTAGAAGAATTCAATTTTGTGAAACATTCAATTATTCAATAAATTATTTATTTTTGTCTTTAAAAAATTGAATTTTCGGTGAATTTTCTAATAAAAGTTGATTTAAAAATTAATTTCAGTTAAAATTGTAGATTATAAATTTATAATTGAATATTATGTTCAAAAGTTTTTTTTAACAATCTCGTCAATATTTTAATTATCTTTATAAATAATAAAATTCTTCTCCGAAATTCAATTATTTTAAAAATGTTTAATAAAATTCTTGTAAAAATTTCAATTATTTTAAAATTTTCTTCGCAATAATTCAATTATTTTCATAAATAATAAAAATCATCGCAGAATTTCAATTATTTTTCATGTAATTTTTATTGATTGTCTCGAAAATGTGATTATTCTTAAAAATTGTATTAAAATTCCTCGAAAGAATTCAATTTTGAAAAACATTTAATTATTCAATAAATTATTTATTTTTGTATTTAAATAATTGAATTCTAATAGTATATTTAATTAAGAATTTCCGATTAATCATGAAATTTCGTAAAATGAATTTTAAACAAATGGTTTTGAAAATTCTAAAAGAACTTTTTCAAAAAAATTATTCAAAATAATTGATTTAAAGAAGATTTTTTTTTTTTAAATTTGTAGAAAATATTATAATTGAATTGAAATGTTAAAAATAATCTTAAAGAAGTTGTAACAAAAAGTAACAAAATGCTTATAATAATTTTTTCATTCCAGTCATCTTTAATTACTATATGATTAAATATTTGTTTAAAAATGAAGTTATTGGTGCTTTTGAATGATTTTACAATTAAAGAAATTTGTAAATAAATTGATTAAAAATACTTTTTTGAGTATATAATAATTTTTTGAGTGCATCAGAATATTCTTCAGGGTCAGGGAAAAAGTGAAAACTTTGGTCTGGAAATCAGGGGAATATAAAATAAAATTTTTGTGGCACATCTGCAAATTGAAAGAAAAGACAAAAAAAGGAAAATAAATAATTGGAATAAAGACCAAATTGTTGACGAATGAAATTTTAACGACATACCTTGTTTGTTAAATCTGATTTATAATGGGCAATTGGAAAAATATTATTTGAAAGAATACCTCTATATTTTCGATTTATTAAACAATATTTTTTTTAAAGAATTTTTTAAAGAAAAAAAAGCGTACACAAAAACTACTTTCAAATTGCGGACAGAATAAATGAAAGAAAGATATAATTATCAGATTATTATAGTTAGTAATTTTTTTTTTTTTAATTTCTGAACGAATATAAATATTAAATATAAATTTTTTTTTATTTTATATATTAAATTATTATAATAAATTTTGAAAGGCTTCTCATCAGTGTGTTTATAATTTAACTTTGTAAATTCTCGTGGGATTGAAATGAAATCTTTTATTAACAAATGGATTAGGGGAGCCTTAGAGTGTAATTTCTGACTTGGAAAAGCACATATCCAAATTAATCTGGGCGTTATTGCGGAAACCGTGATACGCTTTATATACATTGAAAGCAGAATCCCTTGGTACCTTTAACCCCCTTTTCTACTCAACGTTTCCTTCCTCTCTCTCTCTCTCTCTCTCTCTCTCCTTCCACTTTTCCTTTATGCAACGAAGAAATGACATAATGAAGTTATTAAGCGGTCGTTACCTTCCAATCATCTCGCGTTTAATCAACTACCAAACCCTATCTTCACACGAGCCTGGTAATTGTCTCACAATGGGGGATTGACTCATTTTCGGTAGCACGGTCGTTATACTGTGTCTCTAAATCGTTTCACACAAATTAACATCCTATTTGTAGATCAAAATCGTGTAAATGTTAAATAGAATGTTATCTACTTTTTTTTGTTATTTCTTCTTAATTTATTTACCTGCATTCAGAAGAAACTAATCCAGACTTTGCGCACTCGATAATTAATTTTAAAAAAGTAGGAAAAAGTAGCTATCATGAAAAGAATTAAATTCTTACTAAGATTTTCACAAAAATTTGTTTAAATAATTGAATTTTGTTTGGAAATTTTATGAAAATAGTAGATATTGAAAATGATTCAATTGCGAAAACTTTTAAAAAATAACAATATTTTACAAAGAATTCTATTAAAATTTTTGCCAATAATTGAACGTCTGCGGTATTTTATTAAATTTTTTTTGAAAATAATTGAATTCTTAAAAAGGATTTTATTATTTATTAAAATAATTGAATTCTTGCAAACGATTTTATTAGAAATTTTTTAAAATAATTGAATTTAAGAAATTTATTACTTTGAAAAATAATTGAATTCTTGTGATGAATATTGTTATTTATGAAAATAATTGAATTTTGCAAAGAATTTTATTAAAATGCCTCAAAATAATTGAATTTTCGGGAATAATTTTGTTATTTATTAAAATAATTGAATTCTTTCTCAAAATTATTTATGTAAATAATTGAATTCTTGGGAAGAATTTTATTAAAATCTAAAAGAATAATTGAATTATTTCAAAAAAATTTATCTAAAATTGTATTTAAAATATTTGATTTCTTTAGAACAATTTTATGAAAATATTTGAAAATAATTGAATTCCTGGGAAAAATTCTAATATTTTTGTAAATAATAGTATTCTTCCAAAGAATTTAAAAAACAGTTTTTTAAATAATTGATTTTTTCGAGGAACTGAAATTGAATTTTTTGTGAATAATTACATTTTTTGAACAATTCCTGTAAAATATTGTATTAAAAATAATTGAAATTCTGCGATGAATTTTATTATTTATGAAAATAATTGAATGTTCGTGTAGAATTTTATTAAAATTTTCAAAAATAATTAAATTCTTGAGAAGAATTTTATTATTTATGAAAATAATTGAATTCTTGAGAAGAATTGTATTATTTATGAAAATAATTGAATTCTTGAGAAGAATTTTATTATTTATGAAAATAATTGAATTCTTGAGAGGAATTGTATTGCTTATGAAAATAATTGAATTCTTGAGAAGAATTTTATTATTTATGAAAATAATTGAATTCTTGAGAAGAATCTTATTATTTATGAAATTAATTGAATTATTTTGAAAAAATTTTATTAAAATATTTAGAAAGAATTGAATTTCTGTGAAAATTTTGTTATTTTTGAAATTTAAATATTTTCAAAAATTAGAACTGCAATTTTCTCGATGAATTTATTAAAATTGTATTAGAAATAAATGCATTTTTTCGATGTTTTTTTGTTTATGAAAATAATTGAATTTTTAAAAAGATTCTTATTATTTATGCAAAAATAATTGAATGACTGTAAAAAATATTATTATTTATGAAAAAATAAGGGCATTATTCTGAAGAAAATTATAACAAAATTTGTAAATATTTAATTTCTCGCGACAAATTTAATGGTTTATTAAAAAATTTGAATTCTTTCAAGAAATTTTATTAGAATTATACTAAAATCGTATTAAAAATAATTAAAATCTTGCGATGAATTTTGTTATTTATGAAAATAATTAAATAGTTGCTTTTATTTTTATTAAAATTTTTTCAAATAATTGAATTCTTCCTAAGAATTTTAAAAGGACATTTTTTGAAATAATTGATTTTATCGAGTAATTAAAATTA